CTCAGCTCCTTGACCTTCTCCTTGCCTTCCCATGTCCTTTTTTGTGGACTTCTCACTTTGGAGATTCTCCCCATGATCTCTCAGCATTGTTTTTAAGTTAAACGTACTTGACTTGTGTCCTCAGCATTCAGAGAGCAGCGCATCTGGCACTGCTGCTCCTCCCTGCATCTGCGACATCACTGCTGTCTGAGATCTGTACATGTGTAAATAGGAGTTCCTCGATGCCCTAAACCTTGGATTAAACAGAATGTGCATTGTACATCTTTAACAAATGTATATTAATTTATTAAATCTAGTTGTCACTTTATTTTGGACCTGCTGTGATCGACAGGAAAATGTGCCACAGAGCAGTAGTGCATAGGCGAGACTGAGTGACATCCCGTGGAGCACAATTCACGGTGTTGCCAGCAGTTCTCACCAGGTCACTGCGTCCTGGCCTTGGCTGGTCAGTCCTTACCAGGAGCTGCATAGCGGTGGTGTCTAGTAAGGGGCATGGACAGAGTGCCTCGCAGACAGCCGTGTGTGGAAGTTATTCCCTGTAACACCAAAGCTGTTGTACGTTTTCATGTGTCTGTGTTTGAAATATTGTATAGTATGTTGTGCTAGATGAGGAAATTATTTTTAATTTTGATAATTTACTATTCCTAATGATTAGCATTGGGAGTTGGGGTTTTATGCTTGTTAGGGGCATGTTTGTACTTAGAAAGAAACTATCAGTGAAGATTTTCATTAGTTTCTTCCCCTTCATACAGCTCTTTCTTTCTGTCAGCAGTGGCCAAAAGTGTCATGCCAGGTGAGCAGTCTTAGGGGATACCATCATACAAACAGCATGCATGTGAGGCATTGTGACGGGCCGGAGGCTCACGTTGGAACACCCATCATGGTGCTGGTGTGCTGCCGCCGAGGAAATCTGTTTTCAAAGCCGTTTGTTTGTGGTAAACTGCAAATAAAACTATGTTTTATTTGTGGAAAGGAAGCAGGCTGAGCTGGTATTTTCCCATAGGAAGGATCGCATTGGAGACGTGCTGTGAATCGTAGAGAAGAGAATGCTCAACCTAGCTCCCCTAGCCAAAGCCCACATTTGAAGTTTAAAAGAATAGGATGGTTGGTCCGCCATCCAAGTGTTTAATGGTGAAGGTGTACTATAAGGGTAGTGGTAGGAGCTTTCCTAGGCTGTAAAGGAATTCCACAGAGTATTAAAACCACAGGTGGAGTTTTTTGTTTTTCCCCCTCTCTTTTTAAGTACAAAAGCCAAACATAAGCTACCAAAATGAAGAGCAATGTGTTCAGCTTTTGTTGTTTTTTTTATTCACCAAGTGATAAGCAAGTACTTTGTTTTTAAAACGCAGTATATTTAAAACAAGAACAGTGCTCGCCATGGGATCCAGTGTTAACACTGTCTGTCACTTTGTAACAGTTCTTTCTCTGGTGCATAAAGTAGGGTCCCTCTAGCAAACCCACCTTCACTTACAGATGATGCGCTGCCACCTGTCATGGGATAGGACTATAAAACGGAATCTTTTGGGGAGAAAGATGTCACTGAATTGGGCATATAATATTATTTATGTTTCATTTTTATTTTTTAAAGAATGTATGGATCTACCACAAAAAAGTTAAAAGTTATTAATCCTCCAAAATTTTAAATGAACCTTGTTTTGTTGAAAAACAAACACAAGCAGTACAGGTTACCAACATTTGCCCCATATTACTGGCAGGAGACTCTGCTCTCTTACTGAGAAATTCCTCCAAGATTTTCAGTTGTGTTGTGTCCTGTGGCTTTCAGTTAAATATATTCTCAAGGATTTATCGTGAATAACGTTTGCTAGGGTGACATGCATATATACAAACATTAAAACCCTCAGTTCAGAAACTGTGTTTCTATTTGCTGCCTGTTTTTACAGGGAATTTAAAGAGTTCTGCTTCATTTTGAATTGGGCTAATCCAGTCTTCAAGGAAGTTTACTAGAGAAGACCTTTGTGCTTTATTATTTGTAATTTGAAGACAAATCACCAATTGGGATTAGTTTTACATGACCAGTTATTAGGTGGTCAGTTTGAAATATGTAGTTGTTCATTATTAGCAAATTATGGGTTGATTTTTAAATGACAAGGTACTAATAGTCTAGGTGAAAGCAGAAGAAAATGCCAATGTAAACTTTGTATGTAGCCAACCTTAAAGTTCTGTGTGTATGGTCGTGGTCCCCACCTCCGACTCCCATACTCTAGGGGAAAGAAGGAGATAGGACATCTCTACTCCAGATGCAAACAAGTAATCTTTATTTCAACATTTGGTTTGATTAGTACTACTATGAAAGCTTCAATTGTCCCTCTCCTCACATAAGTAACTTTCCTCTGATGAGTTTATCTAGTAGTCAAAGTCTATTCTTAAATTTAGGTTGGGCTGATGAATTTTTAAGACAAACACAACAGATGCATTTGACTGCTTCTACACTGTCGTATTTGCAGACACAGGAGCAAACTCTGGCCCTTGTCACGGTGCTGCAAAGTAGCTTATTCCTTTCTTCTCCAGGATGGAGAGTATTAGGCTAGTTCCTGGGATGCCTCACTTTTACATTGTGACGTTCAAAGTTCTTGTCTTAAACAGTCCTAGAATCTTAACAGTTCAGTCATTATCAAGGGAAAAGATGAAAACAAAGTACCACTGAAGTATTGAGAAGACCTCATTTATGACGGGGCTGGAGCTGCCCCATCCACACTGTTTGCCCTGTCAGTTGGATGTTTTGTTTTGTTTTCAGCGTATTGCTGTGTCAAATCTTCAAACAAACAGCTGTCATGAGTAAGGGCTTCTTTCAAATACTCTCCATCAATACCTTTGGCATTAGTATAAAGATAGGCAGTATACAAGATATGTGTGTTTCCATTTCTGTTTGTATGAGTGCCTCATTTTGTAATCATGACAGTCCCTTGTACCTTAGATGGAAATGAACGGCTAAGACCTAGGAGTGTCTGTTGTAGGCGTGAGATAGAACACTCAGTGATGTGGGATGTCAGTTTTCTATTACCGCAAACACCTCTTCCCAGACCAATTTTATGTATATATATTCAAAAATGCTCCCTTTTTTATGTGGTCATTTGTTGCCTCTGAGTTAAAGAGAACAGAATTGAATAAAATGAATGTTAGTTGTAGCCTTGTTTTCTTTTCGGTTGTGTGTTTTTACTCTGAACCTGAGTGCAGAGCATCCTACTGGGATGAATGATGCCTCTCCGCTTGTGCCCCAGGCTGAACTGCCCCCTTCCTTCATCTTCATGCCATGAGCCTTCTTTGGGATGGAGACTGTGCTAAGGACATGTCAGAAACCATGACCAGAGAATGAAAGGGTTACATGACTTTTTACGGTAAAAAGATCTTTTGATTTTAGGGGCCATTTTTGATTTTTCTTAAAGTTTTTAAAAAATATTTATTTATTTATTATGTATACAATATTCTGTCTGTGTGTATGCCTGCAGGCCAGAAGAGGGCACCAGACCCCATTACAGATGGTTGTGAGCCACCGTGTGGTTGCTGGGAATTGAACTCAGAACCTTAAAAGGCAATACTCTTAACCTCTGAGCCATCTCTCCAGCCCTGATTTTTTTATTTCTAAGTTCAAAAACTTTTTCTTCAAAAACATTTAACATTTTCCTTATTTCCACCCAGTTAGAGATATTGTTACTTAATGTGGGAGTGGTGAAAAAAATGCTCTTTGACTCACAGACATCTTTTAATCTGTGAAGCTGTAAGTTCATCAAAGGAAATCAGTACTCAGAAAATTGGCCATTAATTCTTACCTACTCATTTCAAACAGAGTGTGTCAAGAGACCAAGAAATTAGTCTCTTAGGGAAGATGTCTGACTTCAAGGACCAGTGAAGAACAGTGACAAAGATGGGAGGGGCACGTCAGATGCCTGGGCCAGCACACAGGCAGACTGCTGGGACCTCACCGCTTCCTCCAGAGAATCTATAGCTCTTTGCATCATTTTACAGTGTTCATTTATGAATCCTTTTCTTTGCCTATATAATAATACCTTTATTCATTTGTTGTTTAGGACATCCTTGGAGGAGGTGAGTTCCTTGCAGCTGTCTGTGGGTCTGGTAAAGAACACACTCCCATAGGTAGACAGTGAATTCTTCACAGGGTGCATAGATGCTGAGAAAACTGAAATAATTGGATGATGGTTACACAATGAAAAGCAAACTGATAAACTGATTGACACCACAGGTAAGGTAATCAAGGGCAAAGTGAGGTAGCCCTAAGTAAGGCCCAAAACGGCAACTTCTGGAGGAAAATGATTTTTTTGAAGGTCAGTCGTGAGCTAGGCACACTTTTTTTTTTTTAAGATATATTCATTTAAGGAAAAAAATGGTCAAAATTTAAACCTCTAAGAGACTTCACTAAGAATAAAAAGAACAAGGGCCTTGGTGTAGATTGTTCTACGGCATTTCCAGCTTTATGGGTCATGTGCCTAATTTTTTGTGGTGGTGGTGGTGTGGGCTGGGGACAGACTGGTTGCCCAGGCTGGTCTCCCAACTCAGCCCTGCCCCAGCCTGAGTCACTGAAACCACGCTGTGTGCCAGTCTCCATGGACATTTTATTTATTCCTCACACTCAGGCTTAAGTTCTTTTGTAGGATAAATAGATTATTAGCTACATTAGCAGTGTAGCCAAGGTATCGGGAAATTCTGTAGTCCCCAGATATGTGAGCATTTCTGTCGACACTGAGAGTTCTTAATCATTCTATCAACGTAAATGGTTTTTTACCAAAGCTGTTTTATTTTGGAAAAGTGTATTCATATGGGGGACGGGGTGCATGTGGACCAGATGAAGCCTAGTCCACAGCAAGAGGTGCCAAGCCAAGGCCCTGGTTTCAGAAGACAGTTGATGACCTCCTGGGATTCAAACTGGCTCAACCTAGTGTTTTAGGAAAACAGCGCTCTACCCTATGCAGGGGTGGTCACTTAAACCAGGGCTGGTATCCTCAGCTCGCCAAGACTGTGCGCTTGCGCAGCTCAGGTTGCCTGGATACCTCACGCCACAAGCGCGCGCGCTCTTGGGCTGAGGGCGGTTGGGCCTCAGTTCCCCCAGGAGCAGGCGGAGGAGCCGGTGAGAAGCGGAGCGGAGCTCGGAGTGCGGCCTCTGCGCTGACTCCTGTCTCTCCTCCCCGCAGCACACCGGACGCCTGAGCGCCGGTGCGGTCTGCCAAGAGCGATGCCGCTGCCCGACACCATGTTCTGCGCGCAGCAGATCCACATTCCCCCGGAGCTGCCCGACATCCTGAAGCAGTTCACCAAAGCTGCCATCCGCACGCAGCCGGTGGACGTTCTGCAGTGGTCAGCGGGGTAAGCGCTGGCTGAGAACCTCACTCGGTTACCGATTACAGACGCTTCAGTTCTGAGTGTAGACTAAAGACTGAGTTAAAAATCAGCTACAGGGGCGTTTATAAATAAAACCGCCTAGAACAGTGTGCTTATGCCGCCTCCTCCCCAGGATGAGGTGTGCAAAGGCTGTCATCCACGAGAACCGGACAACACAGCTCACAGTGAGAAACATTAACACCCTAGTGACAGAAACACCTTAGCTGGGACCAGACCATTATAATCTTACTACTTTTGGTTTTTACAAGAGAGTTCTTTGCCACTTCTAAAATCACCCATTAGAGGAACCAAAGTCTTAGCAGTATAGGCAGAAATGACACTAAGGGGCCAGCAGAGAGGGTTTCTTCTGGTCTACTGTCTCCACTGTCCATGTCTGCCTATGTGACAGATTTAGACAGTGTTTGGTGGCTCATGCATACCTGTTGCCCTGGTGTTTTAACTTCATTTTGCTGTTTTGTTTTGCTGGCTACAAGTTCTTGGGTTAACAACTGTCCGGTACAACTGGACAAACCTGTTGTGAGTTCACTCTTGAATGGTTGCCCCGGGCCATTTCTGTGTTTGCCTTCAGCCAGGGCATTTTCAGTGACCTTGGAAGAAACAATTGAGGGGGAAGTACCTGGAAACGAGGGGAAAATGGAAAGTAGGTGACCACTGTACGTCCAAGTGTTTAATGTCGAATACCTCAGAAAGCAGCTATTAAAAAATGAATAGCCTCAGGCACGGAGCGCCCAGAGAGGTGACAGCCTTAAGAGTAGTTGCTTGCTTTTCCCTAAGGACCTGAATTGAACCCCTAGCACCCTGTCACACAGCTCACAGTGGTCTGTAGCTCCGGCTCCAGGACATCTGCACTCCTGTGCCCCTACCCACATGTAGACTATCTATACTAAAAATAAAGGTCTTCTTTAAAAAGTGAAGTAGCACAGCATTGGGTTGTGGTCCCTTCGTCCACGTTTTCAAAGCTCTCGGAGGAAGTGGAACAATGAGCAACAATGAGATAACGGTACAGTGAGGTCCCCCTGGCTGTCACTTGGTGCTTCCGGGAGCCTCAGATATCAGTCGTCATGTTTGCTTTGCTGATAGGGAAACCAGGGCACACAGTAAAGGATTTCTCAGCAGAGGTACCTGCGGTGGTATTTTGTTTGTGCTCTAACAAAACTTGCTTGAGGACCACAGCGTGGAGCGGGCCACTAGTTAGCCATAGAGGCCAGGCAGTGGTTGTAGTGGCATTTCACTTGTATTTTAATAAATAAAGCTTGCCTGAAGATCAGAGAGTGAAACAGCGCCCCTGGCCAGCCTTACAGACCAGGCGGTGGTGGCTCACACCTTTAATCCTAGTACTTGGGAGTCACAAAAAGAATCCCAGGGCTAGGGTGGTAGAGCCGGGAAGCATAGCAGAGGGGAATATATACAGGAAGGAGGAGATGGGAGCTCAAGGCATTCAGTCTGAGGAGTCCCAGAGACAAGATTGCCCGTTCAGTCTGAGGATTGAGTAGAGGTAGGAACTAGCGGCTGGCTGCTCCGCTTCTCAGATCTTTCAGCATTTACTCCTATATCAGACTCAAGGTTTTTATCGTTAAGACCAACTAGAGATGGCACTACAGGCACCAGGACTTTGGTGTTTCCAGCTGGCCTTGGGAGCTCTGAGCACATTTGTTGGGTGTCTCTGCGTGCCTTGGGTGCTCCCTGCGTATTGATGCTCTTCAGCGATGTCTCTCGTTCCAGGTACTTTTCAGCCCTGTCCAGAGGAGACCCACTTCCTGTAAAGGACAGACTTGAAATACCTGTGGCCACTCAGAAGACCGACACAGGCCTGACCCAGGGGCTCCTGAAAGTCCTGCACAAGCAGGTGGGTGACCCCCTTGAGTGCCTGTGCTTCGGGTACCGTACTGTGCCCCTTGCAACATTGGGACAGCTGCCCCTTGTCCCGAGGCCTGTCCTGCCACATTTAAAGAACCCCAATAGCTAGCTTTTGGTGTATAGATGCTACTTTCGTTTGGTGAATGTGTGTTGGGCGTGTGTGTGGATATGTTTGTGTGTGTGCAGGTACATGGGCTGTGTGTGTACCAGAGATCACACACCCACACATTTGTTTCATACTTTAGTTTTTTGAGACAGGAACTTGCCATATAGTCCAGGATATCCTCAAACTTGAGGTGACCCTCCTGTCTCAGCTTCCTGGGTGCGAGGGCTACAGATGTGCATTCTTCTCTGGTTTTGAAGTTCCTTTTTTACTGGGAAATAATTTGGACAGTAGGAAACATGTGCTTCATGTCTGCATGTTCATTTCAGGAGGCCAGGGTAGAGCTGTTTTCTTCATTGTCCCTCCCCTCCCTCTCCTCTCCTCTTGCCTCTCCTCCCCTCTTCTCCCCCTTTTTCCCCTCTCCTCCCCTTTCCTCCCCTCTCCTCTCCTTAATTCCCTTCTCCTTCCCTGTGTGTGTGTGTGTGTGCGCGCGTGCATGCGTACTTGATTGTCTGTCCATGAGTGTGCACGAGTCTGCAGTGTGTTTGCCAGAAGTCAGCTCACATATCTTCCTGTATATTCTCCACCTTATTTTTTGAGACAGGGTCTCTCACTAAACCTAGAGCACAATGTTTCAGGCTCACAAACCTGGAGGATGTGACACCAGATTTTATTTTATTTTATTTTGATTTTCAAGACAGGGTTTCTCCGTAGCTTTTGGTTCCTGTCCTGGAACTAGCTCTTGTAGACCAGGCTGGCATCGAACTCACAGAGATCCGCCTGCCTCTGCTTCCCAAGTGCTGGGATTAAAGGCGTGCGCCACCACCGCCCGGCTGTGACACCAGATTTTAAAGTATGTGCCACCACACCCAGCTTTTCGGTGGGTGTTTGAGTGGCAAGCACTTCCCCACTGAGCCATCCTCTAGCTGCCCCCCTTCCCCCTTTCATCACCAGGTGGATGCAGTCCCCCATATATAGCCCATCCCCCCTCCGTCGGCACATAGGGGTTACCCAGCCTTCAGAAGCATCATTTTAGTTTCACGTGCTTTTCCCGCTTACACTGAACGTGTCATATTGTGTCTCCTAAACAGTGCAGCCACAAACAATACATGGAATTACCCGATCTTGAGAAGAAGTGGAAGAATTTGTGCCTGCCGGTAGAGAAGTTCAGAGCTCTCCTGGAGCTGGACCCGTGTGAAGACAACAAGATCGAGTGGATCAAGTTTCTAGCGCTTGGCTGCAGCTCCCTGGGTGGCGTATGTACCTTAAATAGCATCTAATATTATAATTATTATCTTATAATCTGTGTAATTAATTATATTCCTGGCTTAAAAATAATTTGGGTCAAAAAATACTTGGGTTTAAGTAACTACAGAAAACACTTTGATTACTTTATTAGCGTTCTCAGAAAAGACATCAAATTTTTCTGGAAACGATGTTTTTCCAGACTTAGTTATGTGATGAAGACCTCAATTCAAAAGATGTTAAGAATGGAGCAAACACATGGATACTCTTGGAATCTATCTAGGTTTTCAAATGGGGTATACAAATGAGCTCTTTTATTAACAGATGTCTTCATCTGTGGAAAGAGACATTAAATTCCATTGGATTTATTATCCAGTATTGATAAGTAGTAGATACAGTGTAACTGTCCTGCCATTACATTGTAACTCCAGCAGTTTAGGACTCAGATGTTAGGATGCTTGAGGATCACTGGATTCCTGAGCCTGGGGACTCGGGCATGAGTTGGAAGGGTGTGGGCAGAGCTTCCTTGGGAGGCCCCAGTGTGATCAGCGTGTGGTGAAGTGAAGGGTGACTTGATGCTTGTGAAGAAAGGGACTTCAGGAGGGGAAGCAGCCTTTTGCTGGCTGGATAAGCACGTTGTATTGCTCCTTCAGTCTCTACACTCCTTGTTATATAACTATACGTAATTCATAATCCTTGTTTAATGTCCAATCATCTTTAAAAAGGGTCTTTATTTAATTTTTTATTAATTTTTAAATTTGTATGTGTGTGGGTTGGGGGTTGTAAACATGAATGAATGCCTCTGGAGGCCAGAATAGGGTGCTGGATCCCTTGTTAGCCTTCTGACATGGGTGCTGGGAACTGAGCTCAGGTCTTCTGGAAGGGCACTTAACCCGCAATTGCTTCTGCTCCTTTCTTCCCCAGCTTTGTTCCATGTGCAAGTTTCTTAATCTGTTTTACTTTGTAAAAAGTTTCTCTGCATAGAATTGCCCAGCATGAACTTGAAGGGGAACACAAGTAAAGTAATCTCACAGTAGCTCTGAATTGGGTGGTATAATAAAGGGTTCTTTATTTAAAGAGGAACTCACAGATCACAGGGCTGAACAGGAACTGAATCCAACATCCAGGTGTGAAAACAGGGTGGGGGAATGCTGCACCTTTTTGGTACCCAAGGCCACCCCAACCTGGTTGAGCCTCTCAAAGGCCACTGACTGAAGGAGGTTCCCCATCAGCTCCCTTTTTCTAAATAAGAGAGTTTTAAACCCAATACAAAACTATATACAATAAGAACAGATATCAAGTATAAAAATTAGAATTACAACCAGCATAAACAATATTAAGCAAGAGACATATGTTGACTGTTTTAATAATTATTTTATTTTAAGGAGTCTAAGTCTTGTATTAGAAATGGCTTGGCTAAGTCATGAGAAGAAGGTAACTATGACTATCTAGTCTTTAATCCCATTAAAGTCCTGGGAAGGGAAATAATATTACTTGAGTAGGCAGGAAGTACAATCAAGTGCCTTTAAAAATGTACAGTAAATGACAGACAACTGGCTTCATGGGCAATCACCCAAAGTCTCATTTGCAATGTTGGAGCAGCCAACTTTGACTAAGGCCTAGAGTGACTGACAGACCATTTTTTAGAGGCAGGAAAAAAATTAAAACTGTTTTACCCTATTTTGGCAAGGTTTGACAGTCTTTTTTCTTGTATCCTGCTTGTCCTGTCTGGACATTGCGCATTTTGTCAGTGGTCGGGGCATGGGCAGTTCCTTGCCCAAAGGCCAGTTTTGCCAAGAAGAAAACAAGCTCCAAGTGGAGTGTCTTTGGTGCTCAACATTCTCTTGGGAATAGATCGGTGCTGCCAGGAGCAACTGTGTCTCACGTCCATAGAACCCTAAGTTATTTAAATGCCATGTTCTACAGCTCTTTGAAGTGGTTGAAGATTACCTTTCTATGTGGAATACAATCTCTATGTGTCTAAAGAGCCTGAATAATTTAACTATAAGTGAGACAAACATGGATGATTATGACCTATAATTTTTAATGCCTATATAATGTAAAGACTAAAACTTTATATTAGACAATCTTTAAACAATTATGCATCAAATAAGGACAGTGTCCTCAAAATGTAAACAATGTATATGTATCTTGATCAGAGGTAGAAGTGTATAATACAATATGATAAATATATCATAAAATTGTATCAGTATACAAAATGTCTTAAGCAGAGGTAGAAACATGCATACATACAATATGACAAAATAACTTTGCATAGGTGTACAAATATTGTGAACAGAAATAGGAGCATATTTAGCAAATATAATTTGAACTTGTAGTGTGTGCCCTCTCCTGCTGGCCTTCCTGCCTGCCAACGTTATGCTTTCTGCTCCTTTGCATTAAATACATGCTTTCGCCCATGTCCCAGGAAGTGCACCACCCGAGCTAGTGTTCCCTTTTTAATGGGATAGTCCCCTTCATTCCCAGCGGCCTTGCTGTGTCCCTTTGTCTACTGTAGCTCCAGCATGTCTGTCCCTGGAGAGAAGGCAGGTGTCAGGCTGGTGGCTGCAGGGCCAGCAATGGTTGGGTATGTGGGTTTTGGTCAGCCCCTGGCCTCACTGTGCTGAGGCACGGACTCTGCCAAAGCAAGAGTCCTCACAAAGGCTGTGCTGCCCAGTGGGAATTCCCTGGAAAGACAAAGGCAGGTGTGATTGGTTATTAGAGGAACTCCGAAATTAGCATTTTCATAGCGTGGAATTAATATCTAACATTTGGAGTTGATTTTGATGGCATATGCCTCTAAAAATGGCATGAAAATTTGATATTAACATGAGAATTAACAATGAGAAACAAGATAATTCATGATTTATGAATAATTTTGTCCCACCTCTCCAGTCATGAAAATAAATCCGAGATGTATTCAGTGAGTGACACTAGGTGGCACCATTTTGTGAAGAATGGAGCTTCATCTTCCACCATGACTACTTCAAAACCCAAGTTCCTGTTTTTTTCTATACTACTTAGTTCTTATGAAATCAGTTTACGTCACCGTACGCTTCCTTCCTGTCCCCTAACCTAGGTGACTTTTTGGCACTGACCTTGCTGCTTGCCTTAATTCTCTTGGGTACCAGATACCATAGAGGTGCTAGAGTACCAGAGTGCGGCTGGGAGCTCGGAGCCTTTCCTGTACAGGGGTTGGCTCCGCCCTGCCCCGCCCCACCCCACACTGTGGAGAGTGAGCCCCACATGGTCACGAGCGCACTGACAGTACCACGGCTGTCCGTGCAGGCCCCACGTGTGCAGCCTGTGTTGCCTCTGTGGCCTGGACGTACACTGAGAACACGTTATGGTTCTCAAGAGAGACCATCTCATCATCTGCTTTGCAAACACTACCTTCCAAAAGGAGCTGGTGGGCGTGCTGGGTGCTATTACTTCTATCCCAGAGCCTGTCAAGAGGCAACGAAAGGGAGCAAGCAGATGCTGGCTCCTGGCTTGAGATGCTGTTCCTTGTGGTAGGCAGGGGGTGTGTTCCAATGGCAGGCTCAGATATGCCATGCAGAGAGAGCTTGGGTACCGAGTTTATTTAGTGAGTAATGGGAATAGCATAAGAGTAAGGGGTTATGAAGCAGGGGAGGGAGAAGGGGAAGAGAGGTAGGCAGAAGAAGGGCAAAGAGAGAGAGAACAGGCTGGAGAGGGTGTGGGAGATGGCTGTCCTCCCAGGAAGGTGGTGGGGGCTGGGAGTGAGTGGGGCTTGTCTCTTAAAGGGACAGGATACCCAGGTGACAGGCCAGGTCAGCAGATTACAACAGGTATAAAATCCACGAATTCACTGTGTCTGTCAGTTGCATCCTGGTCAATCCTTTTTGCTTTATGCTGTGGAAGCTACGCTTCCTCTGATATCTCCTCCCCAAGATGAAGAGCACACTTGGGTTTCGGTTGCTGGTGTTGCCTTTAAGTCTCTGTGACCCCAAGAGTGACTGTGTCCTATCCTTGTCGCATTTCCTGCCTAGACACTGAACACCGCCATGAAGAATATCTGTGAGATCCTCACTGCTGACCCAGAGGGTGGGCCTGCTCAGATTCCATTTGATACTTTTTCCTACATCTACCAGTACTTGAGTTCGCTGGACCCAGAACTCTTGGCCTCAGAGACGCAGACCTATCTTGCCACTTTAAGAGAGAAGTCGTAAGTACAGTTCTTTGTGGGTTCAGGTGGGCTGAGTTGGAGAATCCACCTCTTTACTGAGAATGTGCCCCTGATGGAAGGAAGGCAAAGATGCTCGCCTTGATTCCAACAGTGTCGAAGAGGAGCAGCCTCTCAGGGATTATTGGCAACGAAGAGTTGCTGTGGGAGGCATGGGACGGTTACAGTGGTCACTGCCTGTCACAAGAACCGCAGTGTGTTCTGAGCAACTTTTGCCCACTTGCTAACATAAGAGTGGCTCCTAGCACTGGTGTTTTACCTAGAAAAAAAAAATCTACTCTTGTACAAGTAAATAGAGCTGTTCTGCTCAGCTGTTGCTTGTTGGCAGGAGTCTGTGGTGAGGCATCTCAAGGGCCCAGTGCTTGAGATAACCTTGTCAGCTACATGGTACCCTGTTAAATGACATCCTAATGACATCCCCATCTGTTTTCCAGTGAATCTAGGAAGAATGGCATGATAGGACTTTCGGACTTCTATGTTGCAAAAAAGACAGTATAGGAAGCCTTGGCGAGAAAGCTCTGAAGACCATTAATACAGAGGAGAGCACATTTAATGTAGTGCCTTTGAAAACCCTGGCGCCAAATACAGCCTGTCATTAACCACGTCTGTGTGATGTGTGACTCTTTCTCAGTGGAGCTGTAGTGTGGCAGGTGCTCACGGGACTGCGTGGTGACTGCTTCTCACTGTGTCTTGGGAGGGCCGTACAGGTGACAACCTCAAAGTGGCAGGGCAGTGCAGGGAAGGAAATGGAGTGGGAACTTTTTAAGTGTCCAGCCCTTCTGGAATGCACAGACACTTGCTCCCCGATGCCGCGACTCCCCTGGAAGTTGGGCCTTCTGTGACAAGTGCATTCATAGCCGGGAAACATTTTCTAATCTGGATGAGATGTGATTATTTTAAAAGCTATAACCCTGAAGAGCTGGCTCAAGAAATAACAGAGTTGGAGCGGGGCTGTGGTAGAAGAAAAGAGAGATAATAGTTCTGTTTGAGGGATGTACCTTGGTGGTAGGATGCTAAAGAACAAAGATCCGGGTCCCCCACCCCACTCCACCCCACCCCACCCTCGCTGAGAAGGCAAACACTGGAAGAGTCTCCTCTGCTGTTGAATGTCACACAGAGGACACTAGTCAACAATCTAAAAGCAAGCCTTCTCATCTGATATAAGATTGTCTCAAAAATGCACACGTGTGTGTCTGTGCATGTGCGAGTGTGTTCTCTGGGGCCAGAAGAGGGCATCAGATCCTTGGCACTGGAGTTACAGGGGATTGTGAGTGTGTTCTCTGGGGCTAGAGAGGGCATTAGACCCTCGGCACTGGAGTTACTGGCGATTGTGAGCTGCCCGCTGTGGGTGCTGGGAATCATCCTCCAGGTCTCTGCCCTTCTTCACCTTTGAGCCACGTCCCCAGCCTGACATAGTTTTTATGGAGCTCTCCTGTGATAGAGTCACCCTTCCCTGCTCCTTCTGTGCAACCAACAGATCTCAAAGCCAAAGACTGGGTTTATTTGTTTGTTTGAGTCAGGGTCAAATCCTCAAACTCACTATGTAGCCAAGGGTGACCCTGAACTTTGGATCCTCCTATCCCCACTTTATAAACAACAACATAACACTAAATGTGAGGGGAAATCTTTGGTGGGACAGATGAGCCTCTCCCTGAGTCATGCGGGCCCGTCAGTTGTTGTTCTGACCCTACCCCGGTGGCTGAGCCCCTCCCTCACAAATGCTCTTCAGCGGTGGGACAGGATGAGAACAGTCGGTTATTTTCAGTGTCTGTACTAGATTGTTCCTTCGGCCTCTTTTTCCCAGATACCACTTCCCTGACCCATGCTGTGCCTGTCTCAGGCTGACTTCATGGCCTACAATGTCATGAGCTCAGTTCTGTGCCCCAAGTCTTCCAGGCAAAGCCGCCCAGCTCGAGTCACTTTTCTGGCTTGCATTTCCAGACTGACTCAGCCCTAGCTAGCACTGGGCCTGGCCCTAGCTGGTTTCCTAGCACATGGCCATGAGCCTTGGCCCTGGTGCTCCCGGGATCCAGTGCTCATGTGGGTCTCCTCAAGTTGACCTGGAGGAAGACTTCATATGCGCACAGGCCTCGTCAGTTTGGAGAACAGCTGTGAGACCCGAGACTGGACAACTCCGAGAGAAAACCAGAGAGAAATCCACGGGGTCTGGGCAGGTCCCTCAGAGCACAACGTCCAGGCCTGCTTTTATTAATACTGCATAGTGAGCCATAACCGCAGGAAAGCTAGCCCTGGGTGACAGAAGGGTAGTACCCAACTCAAAGCGATTTCCAGTGGGGAGCTCCAGAGGAGAAAACAGGACGACCTTAATGGAAACCAGTGTAAGGCAGTGCGTTTCTGTTTTTAAGCTGAGAAAGTGGGGCCCTGAGAGCTATGGTCGTCCCCCCCCCCCGTTTTGACACAGGATCTGTATCTCTGAATTGTGTGGAACTGTAGACCAGGCTAGCCTTGAACTAACTTATATGTAGACCAGGCTAGCCTGGAACTTACTTTTATCCTCCTGCCTCTGCCTCCCATGTACATCTCACCATACCTGGCGAGTTCAGTTAAAGTTTGTTCCTCCAGAACTGGGCTTTGTTTGGCTCTTTAGAAGGTTTTAGAGTGGTTTCTGGAAGGCTCAAGTGCTGGAGCTGGGTTCCTTGTGGTGGTGGTGAGTTGGTGGCACTTGTAAGAGGGAGGACATAGGGTGACAGGAATCTGAAGCAGCTGGTCATGTCCACAGCAAACACAGATGGGATGGATGTACGCATGCTTAATCTGATACCTCTCCAGGACCCAAATCCAGAGACTGTGCCGCACCCCACAGGACACCTGGTCTCCCCCACAGGACACCTGGTCTCCCCCACGGACACCTGGGCTCTTCCATGGGCACCTGGGCTCCCCCATGGGACACTTGGGCTTCCCCACAGGACACAAGACACCTGGGCTCCCCCACAGGACATCCTTTGTTCTTAACTCTCCCGAATTGTTTTGACCTAGCAAGTTAGGTCATGAACTGCTAACAAAAAGAAAGACATAATCCTGGTGTCTTAAGGTTTCTATTGCTGTGAAGAGACACCATGACTTTGGCAGCTCTTATAAAGGAAAAGAGTTAACTGGAGTGGCTTCCAGTTTCAGAGGTTTAGCCCATTATTATCATGGTGGGACATGATTTTTGGGGGCTGCAGACCCCTGGCCCCTTGACTTTCTTTGCCTGCCTCAGACCCTTTGCCTGCTGGAGTGAACTGAGCAAAACAACTTGTTTACCTGTGCCTGCAGCTGCTCTGAGCACGAGACCCTGATGGCAGGGGCATGGGTTCTGGTGAGGTCTGCAGCTGAAAGATCCCGAGAGCTGGGGCATGGCTATGAGTTAAGGATCCCTACATAAGCTTCCCTGGAGCACAATAAAGTTGGCATTCTTGTATCAAGGATGACCCGTGTCCCTGTCTATCTGTGTGCGTGTGTTTTTAAATCTTCAGGCTCTTGCCCAAGGCTCGCGTGCTGTAGCAGTAGCATGTAGAGAGCAGGCTTTACACCTGGTGTCATGCAGGCAGAGATGGTGCTGGAGAAGGAGCTGAGAGGAAGTGGTCTGAGACACTGAATTGAGCATTGTATGAGACCTCAAAGCCCACCCCTACAGTAACACACTAACTCTAAGAAGATCACACCCACTCCAACAAAGCCACACCTCCTATTAGTGTCACTGCCTATAAGCTCATAGGGCCAATTACGTCCAAACCACCACCACTGGCCTTTGTCTAGTTCACAGCACCTGAACACATGCATCGTCTCAGAATGGTGCCCGACCCTCAAGCTCTGTTTCTGAGAGTAAATCTCGTCAGCCAGTTCCTGGTTAGGTTTCAAGAATGTACTTTGCGTTTGCGGTGGACTCTAGGTTTAAAGAGGATTTGGGGGTACCTGTCCTCCTAATGGGGGTCACTGGCCAAGCAAGGGGTACAGTGGGACTCCCCTTTGGGTCATCACACTCCAGGGTCACCTCCATGTTCTGTCTCCATCCCTCCCTCAGGAGTCTGTTATCCCCTCTGGCCCTGGCTGCTCAGCTCAGATCCAGCCCCCCACCCGCACCCCCCGTGTCCTGCCAGAGAGGCTGAGCTCCCCCAAAGGTGCAAGATGAGCAGTGGTGTTTACTAACACATAAAGGAAATCACTTTCTAACCCATTTTTGTCCAGGAGCTTCAAGTACCTTCTTCTAGCACCTGTTTCAGGTCCCACACTTTTCTAAGGCAAAACCAGATGGCGTCCTCACAGTGTACCTGGCTCCCAGTTCCATGATGCACAGCTCCCCCTCATTACAGAGACTGCCTTCTCTTCAAACGCCAGCTTCATCTCGCCTGTGACAAGCAGAGGCATCTGTATCCCCTGCAGTGACTTCTTGTTAAACAGCCACAGGAAGCTGGGCCTTCAGTCAGATTAGTAACCACTCGGGGAAGTATGTGCCTGTGCAAAGTCGTTTGATGGCCGGCGGCTGTGCTGTACAGTAACAGTGCGCTCAACAGTCGGACAGAACTAGCCAAGCAACTGGTGTGCTTGGAAAAAGCCTCTTTAGGAGGCCAGAGTCACACCTTAGCTGCAGGAGACTGGGGTCTGTGAGGACCCTGGCAGGTCCATAGATGTTCTGCTCTGAGGAGAGGAGCCGGGATCTCCACACATGGGAAAGGAGGCAGCCACCCCTCGGGGTTTAGCACCTTGGGAGGCAAAGAAGATTTTTTTCAGTTAAAGCCTGATGATAATGAATCTCTGCACCAGAATAATCCAGCCCTGGTGTCTGAAAGACGTGGAGCCAAGGTTTATACATGGCTTGTGTTTGCTCCCTGAGGGTCGCGTGTTGGAAACTTTGTCCTCAGAATCCTAGTGTTGGGAGAGGTTAGCGTTTAAGAGGTGGTGCCACTGGGGTGTTTGGGGGAAGACTTGGGGATTAAGGACACTTGGAACTTTTGCAGAAACCCAAATTCAGGACCCAGTACCTGTACCAAGCAGCTGCCAACTTCCTGTCATTCCAGCTCCAGGGGATGAGAAGTCCTCTTCTAGACTCTGAGGGCACCTGTCCTGATGCATGCATGCACCTCCCTCCCTCATATATACACATAATTAAATATAATTTTAATTTTCTGAAACAAGTCAGAGCCTAACTGGGGCCTCCCCTCTCAGAAGGGATTATGGTAGAGATTCAGAGGCCCTGTGTTAGTTTTCACAAGAGTGAGCAGTAAGAACAGGCCTGATCCCCAGAGTCTCGTGTGTGTGTGTGTGTGTGTGTGTGTGTGTGTATGGGGGGGTGCTGTGGATCAATCTTTGTACACTGTAAAGATGTATTACTCTCATTGGTTACTAAAGAGCTGACTGGTCTATAGTTGGGCAGGAAGGGACTGGGTGGGAGAGCCAGACTAGGAGGATGTTAGGAAGAAAAAGGGTGGAGTCTTGGGAGTCACAAGCCAGATATAGAGGAAGTAGGACGTGTACAAAAATGAGGTAGCAAGCCATGAGCCACATGGCAGTGGGTAAAAGAATAGAAATTGAATAAAAATGGGTTAATTTAAAATGTAAGAGCTAGTTGGTAAT